AACGCAGCGCCGTGCTCCTGGTTCGACTGCAGCTAGAGGATTTGCTGTCGCTGGATTCTATACAGTTGCTGGCACTTTACGAATTGCATGGCGCGTCCAAGCGGCAGCTGCAGTTGCAACTGGCCAGCATTAATATTTCCGCGCTGCTGGAGCAACAGGAGCTGCATGTGCCCAGCTTCGCAGCGCAAACGCTGCATCAGGACTTTCTCGCCGTGATCATGACGCAGACTTCGCACTGCGCATTGCGATTGCAGTTTCAGGGCGTGGAGCAGCAAATGCAATTCGAGCAACTACTGGTCAACAAACTGGGCTTTGCTGCAACAACTGTGCCGGCAGAGCAGGAGCCCCGAAGGCAGTGTAAGTGGCTAGGTAATGTCTCCTGAACAGCTCCATACCTAAAGAGTTTCTCTTCTTTAACAGCTATGCAGCTGCTGGAGGACACTTGTTTGGCAGAGGAATTTGCTTTTGGTAACAACAGCGGGCATGGCCGCAATGACTCCGCCTCTTTGTCTGCGCACCGAATCTTTTACAATTGTCAATCGCAATTGCTGTTGCTGCGCAACGATCCTGACCAGTATTGGCACATCTATGCCGGCAGCCAGACGCAGCTGTGTCTGTTGCTGCGCCGACTGTTGCGGGATCTGCTGCAGCTGCACTGCAACGTTTCGCTGCTGGAGCTGCACGAGGATCTGTGCAGTGTGCCCGCAAATGCGGCGCTGCTTTTGGAATCGGCACTGCGCGACGAACTGCAGGCCAAGTCGGATTTGTTTCAGTTGCAATCGCCGCAGACTGAGCTCTGGGCCAACAGCCTGAAGCGTGTCCATCAGCTGGAAATGGCCACTGATTTGATGGTAACTGACATCAAGAGCCAAACGCAGCTGCAAACAAGCTAGTCTCTTTCATGGACGATGCTGATTAGGATTGGACTTATTTAATATTATATTAGCTAGTAAGTAATGAAAACCATTAATTTTGTATTGAAAATTGTTATTACTACGGTTATTCCGTGCATATCTGTATAAGCAAATATTATTTCCTTCTAACATGATTTGGGCTGTTATCCTTGAACTCAATTAAGCTCATGTATAAATGATATTGTGCCAGGAGAGAGAGAGAGAGAGATATTGTTGCCCGTGAAACGTTTACGAATGCGACGCAAAAAGAAAACGCACAAAAATAAACCCCTTGCGCTTGTAATCCTATCCTAAACTATCTGAAAGGCGAATGAGACTTCAAGAGAAGATAATTTCATTATCATACTTTGTGATATGATTTCAAGTTCTTCTCCAATCAGTTTGTCGATTACCTTTTAGAAAAAATTGTATTCAAACAGGCAGTTATTTCATGTTTTAAGTGTATTTAATCCAAAGAATGAAACTTTTAGCTTAAGTTTTCATAACATTTTCGAATCATTTCATCCACGCACAATTAGTAAATGTTTTATGCTTTCTTCGAATTACAACTTAATATTAAGAAAAAAAAAACTTAGCGTGGACGGATATGTCTATGTAAATGTTTCTGCTCTTATCCTTACCAGGCATACATATAATGCTTCAAATATGACATATAGGATTCGGCAGAATTAGAAGAATAGCATCTTGAACGACTTGACATGTATGTCAAATTGTTAAGAAACATTTGATTTATCTTAAACAATATTTTTTATACAGTGTTTAGCTAAATTAAAAGCACGTCAAGTGAAGATTTGTTCAAGTTTGTCCACATAGTTTAAACGAAAAGGTCTTTTTAGGACATTGCACGCTGAGAGCTTCTGGCACTGCAGCTGCTGCGTCGCTGCTGCTCCTCGCTCTTGATGATGTTGTCGAGCACATTCTCCAGATTCTGTGTGGCCGCTGACAGCTCCGCATTGTCACTGTACGAGTCCTCGACAATTTCCTTGACCTTGTTTAGCAGCAGCTTAAAGTTCACCATTTCCGTGTCCCGCATGTCCACATTCACCGATTGCTCCAGGAGCGCACCCAGCGGCATGGCCAGCGCAAGCGCCGTCGGCTGTGCACCGGCTGTTGGCAACAAACTGGAACGACGCTGATCGAACCACAAGCTAATGTCGCTTAGGGAGTAATCCGATTTGTTGGCCTCCAAGTAGCTGCGATTCAGCTCGGCGCCATTGACTGCAAGAGCGAATGAGAAAGCAAATAAGAGAACATTTCCAAATGAAGGAATTAAATTAACACGCACTGGAATGTGTTAAATTGGGGCCCACAGGCGCGTACATATCATATACAGCGGGTGCCACGGGCAGCGGCAGGCGTTGTGGCGTGCTGGAATTCAAGAACGTGGAGCTGATCAGCGGTGCGGCAGACGAGGCACGCTGCGAATATATAAAAATGTTGTTAATACAATATTAATACTGCTGCGAGTGTGCCGGACATACCGATAGTTGACGCATATCCTCAATGATTTGCAGCAAGAAACTCTGATGGGCGCTTAGAAACTCGGATATTTGAGCACTCGACGTGCTGGACAGCAATTGCAGCTGCGTTTCCAGCTTGCTGTTGCACAGAAAATCAGTGTGAAAATCTGAGTATTGCAATATATAATATGATTAGCAGGCGGTACATACGCATTTTGCAGCAACAGACGGTCGATGATGGATTGCAGGCGTTCCGATGCATTGCTGGCCAGCCCCGTTAAGGAGCCTGAACGAAAAATGGTTGAAATAATAAAATAGTATATCAGAAATTGCCAACAATAATCGCATTAGTAAGACGGTCGCAACTCATATACAAACAGAGGGACTTGGATTCTGGATCCATAATATTTAAAAGATATACAGAGAAGCATCATGATATAGAGACTTAGAGTATATGTATTCCATTCCGACTGTTCACATACTCTATTTCGCATTGAAAATGAAGTAGGGTATATGAAATAAGAAATATATATTCTATTTCGTATATCCTATTTCCATATGCTGTCGCGGTCCCTTGGGAGGTAATTCTTTCGGCCTGACAGATATATATATCTTTTACTCGCTAAGTACATGGGGTATATTGCACTTGGGTATTAATTTCTAATGACATACATAGCTCCTGTTGTGGTGGCGGCTGATGTTGCGGCTGCGGCTGCGGCTGTGGCTGCTGTGGTTTCTCATTCGGAGGCGCCTTTAGGCGCAGCGTTGAGTTGCTGCGTATGCTGCGCGTCTCGGCTGGTATGGGCGTCAGTTCAGTGGCATTGTTGGGCTGGCAGACGCCAGCACCGCTTTCCTGAGCATTGCAAAAGCCGCGACGTTCCTCCTCCTCCGCCTCGGCACGTTGTGTTTTCTGCGTGAAGGCAAACCAGCCGCATAGGCGCGACAAATAGCTTGTCCAGCGCTGCGGTTGCGGCTGATCCTCAACAAACACTTCGCACATGCGATGCGATGCCTCATGCTTGCCGCTAACATGCGCGGCACCGGCAAAGCATGGCAAACACAGCGACAAATCGCGGCACACCTGACACTTGAACCGGATGCCAATGATGTGCTCTATGCGACAGCCGGCACACTGATTGCTGTGTATCAGATGCTCCGTATCCTCGATGCGCTTGATCAGCGCCAACAGATTGCCATAGATAAGGAAACGCGTCTGCGTGTGCGTCCACAGATTGTGAAACTGCTGCTCGTTGAGGCCGGCGAGTCCGTGATGACAACGTGCGAAGCACTGCTCCATCATGGGCTGTAAATTGTGCGGCCCATAGGCCTTCGACTCGCCCAGGTAGCTCAGTAGCTTGCTGAGCGTGTGCAGCAGCTGCTCGAAGGCGTAACGTGAAACACACTGGGATTTGACATCGACCAGTAGGCTGTAGAAGTCGCCCACCATATGCTCGCTGCTGTATAGCTTGCAGAGCAGCAGAAATGTCACCTTGATCTCCAGCAGGGAGATGGAGTGACGCCGTTGTCTGCAAGCATGTAAGGTTATTGATATGAAATTAATAATATATATAATTAGAAGTAGCACGTACGGATCGTAGACATTCCAAAAGAAATTGGCCAATAGCGCTGTTGCCGTTTCCAGCTGATAGCTTTGTGTTTTGTTAAAGTGTCCCAACTTCTCGCAGGCAAAATAAATGTCGTGCAGCAGCGAGGTGAGCTGAAAGGGCGGCACCATCAGATTCAGATTACAATTGCCGCTGCTCACGGGCATCCCATGGCGTTCCAGTATGGCCAGCACCAATTTATAGGGTATTTGGCTAGCTGTAAAAATAGGCTGCTAAGAAAAAGTGCAAATTTACAGATATTCCAGTTGCTTACTGTGAAAGATTTTTTGCAATGCCACAAACTTGCTAGCACAACGATAGACAGTGTACTTGTAGTTGCCATACTCCAATTGCAATTTTGTTATAATTTCTGTTAAATTGGAGGCAACCTGTTGCGGCACTTGTTGCTGCCTCTCTGCCTGTTGTCCTTTGTTGTTTGCCAAGGCCGCGACCGCAGCGGCACTTTTGCGCATCGTTGTCATTTGTGTGTTAATAGTTGCGCCAAGCATAATGCGTACCTGTTATGCCTAGCACGTTGTATATTTATTTGTTTTATAATGGACTTTAGTTTAAAACGTTGTAGCGTCCCTTTTTTGTGTTCTTGCGTTCTCCACGACGTTCGTTAGCGCAAAAGTCAAATTTGAAATGAATGTGTGGCAACGCCGTTGCGCATGCGCCTACCAACACTGCAGTGCTGCCAGCCGACGCAACAATGCGACCGTTGCTCTTTAAATTGCATTTCAATGTAACTCGTGTGCAGCATTTAATTTGTCAAAAATAATAAATATGCTAGGAAAATAGCACATGTGTGCTAATAGTCTATTTATATATGTATTTCTTGAGTAACATGTACGTAAATAAATAATATCATAATATTAGAAGAGCCTGTGCATCTTAAGCTTAGTATGCAGATCACATAACATATATATACATATGTCGTTATCGATACTTATATCGATTGCGGTATAATCAACAATTGGGCATAGAATTAAAATATCAGCTGGTTGTAATTTTCGGGCGATCTAACAACACTGTACTACGAAACATTTTTTCCCGCTCAAGGCTTTGGTACTAAACCTCCGCAATGTGCGCCAAATAACTAATCAATCACTTGTAGCCGTTAACACAGAGCATGAACAACTCTTCTTGATCTATATGAATGTGTGTCTGTGCGCGTATTTCGTCGTAATTATAATGTATGGCGAAAATGCTTTAAACTAAGTGCGTCTCACTCGCCCAGCCAAGCTGCTGATTGACTAACTGACAAATGGTTGCAGTCATGTTTGTGCCCAACCCAATTCCCACCTGCGCGAAATGGTTCAAATGTCATAACAAGATGGCGCATACATGTCATGCCAACACATACATATGTCTGGACACACACACACATTTGCATTTGCATGCACAGTGTGCACAATGGCGGGCAGGACTGGGAACAATGACAAGCACATTGGGCGTCGTTGGCGTCCAACTGCCTGCACCAGGCAATAATAATTCGCCAGTGCCAGTCATTGACAATGTCGGTGCCATAATGGCTCTCCACAGACTGACTGACTGCTGCTTGTGTTGTCGTTGCAAAAGTTATTGTACCCTGTACCCACGGGCGTAAGCGCATAAGTTGACCGCACAGGTAATACTGTTATATATACATAGGTATATGTATATAAACTGTAATTAGCATTTCATTCCTGTTTGCAAAATAGTTATATTTTCTCGAAAATTCAATTTCGTAGGTTAGAGCGTTCCGTTATAACTACAAATAAGGCTGGCCACGCCTCTTTCTGTGATCGCAAATCAGAATTATCGATAACATTTACAGTTTTGTAGGTAACGTATCCGAATTTATTTGTTTATCAAATGAGAAACTAATCATATTTATTTGTTTACATTGAAACTAAGAAATGACAGGGTAGTGCAGCGTTCATACTTTCATATTGCTCATATTGCTGCACTGCGTCGAAATGACAGAGGGTGCGACACCTACAATTGCGAGAGTCGTCTAAATGAATGAATTAAGTCAGCCATGTGACATAACTGCAATGACCGCGCTGCTGCTGATGCCCAGTGCCCCAGTCGCCCAGTCTCCGTTCGAGTCGCAGTCGGAGTCGCAGGGTCAGCCTCAGTCTTAGTCCCTTGTTGCCTGGCGGAGGCGAATGCTAAAGCAGCAAAGTGCCAACGCCTCACGTTGCACATTTGCCACATTGTTTTGTTGCTGTCATTCCTGACGCCTTCTGACGTTCTTGTGATTACGTATTTGCTGCTCGCTGCTGTGTCGCTGCCCGTTGCCAAAGTTATATGGCACACACGTACAGCAGCAGCAGCAACAGCAGCACACGCTCCTACTCCCTCACGGCCCTGTCCACGCCCAGGATGCCAACGAGGCCGTCGGTTGGCGCAGGACAATGGCAATGCCGGAATGCAAATGGCGTGTGGACGTGAACGAATCGCGCACACGGCGCAAAATGTTGTTGCTGCCACTTGAATTACATATGCAGGCCGCGGGAAGCTGAACTTATCACATTGCGCCTAGAGCTGAGCGCGTGTCGTGTTTTCAACGGTGACGCGAACACGCGCCATTTGAGATGACACGATCGTGTTAAGAAACTCTGAAATCTTACGGCATTTACAATAAAAACTCAAGCGAAAATAATTAAATAAGATAAAAGTTATGTTCGTATATTTGGCTCGCGCTAAATATGTATTAAAACTGGAAGCTAGGACGATATAGAACGCAAAGTTTCTAGATAACATCCGCTAAAATGATTCCACGATTGTCTTAGCTTTTATCTGAATATATTAGCAATGTGAGCTAATGCTTTAGAATGGGAAGTAGCCATGCTCAGAGCCTAACTAAAATGATTCCTTAATAATTTAAAACATTAGACAATACACTTCCCGAAACTATAGCAAAACCTGCTAATTTAATCTCAATGAAATATTGAAAAAAAAATGCATTTATCGATAGTCGTGATATTTGCGACGAATTTGGCTTTGTATTCGTGTCGTGTCGTGCTGAAACGATTCAGCACGTGTCCATCTCCAAACGTTTCTGTTCGTGTCTAACATATCCGTTAAGTGTTCTTCAATGAAATATTGAAAAAAAAAAATGCATTTATCGATAGTCGACGAATTTGGCTTAGTATTCGTGTCGTGCCGTGCTGAAACATTTCAGCACGTGCTCATCTCTATATTAGAGTAAACGTTTCTGCCAGTGTAACGGCTCTACCGGCCAGCGCGCCAATTAAGCAACAAAAGGTCGGTCGCTTGGGCTGTCGTTGTCGTCGTTGCCGTTGCCGTTGCCGGCGCGACCATGTTGACGACTTGGCCGCCATTAAAACGAAGCGACGTTGTGAAATGTTTTGATGAAGCCAATGGCTGCCTTTTCGCTTAGCGGAGCGTACCCCCATAGCCCACCCACAAAACGAGTTTGCTCTGCGCAACTTTGAAAGCTTTGCAATTTTTTTTTTTTTTTTTGTTTTTTTGTTTCGCTTTTGTTGTTGTTGTTTGTTGCACATTTCGCAACAAACTTGCCACGAGATGCCGTTACCCAACGCAGTAGCCAATACGTTTGCCAAAGTCACAAGCTTCATGTCCGCAGCAAGCAGCGTCCCGACTCCCAGCGCCCCAAGCATTCAATTTCTCTTTAATTTTTTTTTTTGCCTCTCTAGAATTGTTTAAAGAAGGGACGAAGAAGAAGAAGAAAAAAGAAAAACAGAAAATAAACAAAATATTAAAACGGTAGTGGAGCACAACTTGAAGACTTTGCGCACAACAAGTGGACATGGAGCAGGCCAAGATGGCTGCCACTACGTATGTTGCTCGTTAACGGTAATGGGAACACGGCCAGGACTGTAACGGTCGGTCACGTGAATGGTCTAATTATGACTCTCAGCGCCTTCACAATTGGCACATAATAATAAATGCATTGGAGCGGCAGAGATGCAATCTAATGAGGCGAATTAATGATTGTGTAATAATTAATTTATTTAATTAAGTTTCATTAAATCTCATTCGGCTTAAGCCTAATTAAAATCTGGTTGGTTGGTGTAGTCTGCTGCATCATAAGGCACGCTGTTTAATTCTGTAGAGGGATAAACATAGCATGCTCTCCAAATAAGTTAATCAGGCACGTTAGCCAAAGTACTCTGTGATCACGTGCAAAATTACAGGATTAAACACGTTTGACATTTGAATCGAAAGCGTGCAGTGTGACCGATGCACACGCTTTAATTTATGTCATTTAAATGTCCGCTGCCCATTCGACTGCCTTCGCTTGTGCACATACATTCTAGTATATATCAACCTCAGCAATTTGACAGTCGTTTATTTATTTATGTGCCAATAAAACCACAAAATGTCAGCAGCGTTGTAGTATTTGAATTTATTGAAACAGAAAACAAAATGTAATTTTAATAATGTAATAATAATTATATCGATATCACATTTATTTACACTTTGCCACAGTATCGATAAGACTGATATCGATGGAGCGATCGTCAGCTGCTAAGTGTTGGCAAAAATGCAATGTAAAGCATACCATTGCTCTTGCATATAAACAGCGCCATCAATTGCACCATTGCGAAAGTAACATATCGATAACACATTTACTTACACTTTGCCATAATATCGATAGGCAGTCACTCGACACGCGCTGCTGCTAAAACTGATATCGATGGCGCGATCGTAAGCTGCTTAGTGTTGGCAAAATGGCGGACAAGGCCAATGGCAGCCATTTGTAATATTACTCTGTCTTTTAATTTTGTGCGCATTTCAATTAATCATGCCACATGTATATATATACATGTATATATATATCTATATATATACATTTGCGAGTGAGCAAATATTAAAACTCTGTTCGTTCTTGAATGGCCGACGTCAATCCAATTATTTGCGGACAGTGCAAACACGCAGCGTCCAACTTCATCTATTCAGTTTCACTTCGACTATGGCTGCCGGGCAATAAAAATGAAAACAGCAACAAACAATAAGAGCAGCAGCAGCAGCAGCAGCACAAGTAAAGTAAAGAAGGAAGCTAACGGACATGGATCCATTCCGAATGGGAACACATTCACACGCGCGTTGCCACGTGGACAGTGGACGAGTTTTTCCCTTGTTTCTGTTGTTGTGCATGGGTAAGTTTTTGCGGGTGATGGACGCGCACGAAGAGCTGCTCTTTATACCCTGCACTTGTGCAATTGCATCGGTGTATGCTGATCATATGCACATAGTATTGCAGTTAACTGATATACATATATATTTTTTTGCTGCTGTCTGTAAACAGAAACGGATTCGCAGTGGTCCGTAAGAGCTTTTTTATTGTATGTGCTTCAATCGGGTTGAAAGAGAACTGATAACGTTTTTAAAATCAATTCAATTTTCACTCGCTTTGCTTATTTTTTGCTTCTTTGAAACTTGTTATACCCTGCATCCATTAAAATCGCAGTATTATATACATGGTTGATCCTTTCGATGCCTTGCGCGTCGGAAAATCTCTAAAACCGAAAGCCAGATACAAGAAATTTTAAATGTCGGCTCATTTTGAAGTTTGCATATGTATACAGGGCATCGCCCAGTCGGGCACTATCGATAAAAGCATTTACTCGGTCTCTTTTTCCTGGTTTTTCAACTATTTATAGGGTCTAGTTGTTTGCTTGGTTTTATTGTTTTGCAGACAGACTTCTGACTAGCCATAATTCAATGTTGTCAACTGGCTTCAACTAAAAGTTGAAAATTAAAGAGCTTTACAATTTTAATTGATTTTTTTTTTCGTTTCCACAAAAGGACATACAAGGAATGCTGTTCAGGCTGCGCATCGTTTTTGCATTGAGTTACTTTGTCCATGTGCACTCTGGCATTTTTATACCCTGAACCCATTAAAAATGGGTATAAGGGTATACTGTATTTGTGCAAAATCTAAATGTATGTAACAAGCAGAAGGAAGCATCACCGACCCCATAAAGTATATATATTCTTGATCAGGATCAATAACCGAGTCGATCTAGCGATGTCCGTCTTTCTGTCCGTCCGTCTGTCCGTCCATCGAAACTTTTTTTAATATCTCGGGTAATAGCTCCGTGCGGAGGTATGACGTTCCAAAACGACATAACTCCCCGCGGAGATATGACGTTCCAAAACGACATAACTCCCCGCGGAGATATGACGTTCCAAAACGACATAACTCCCCGCGGAGATATGACGTTCTAAAACGACATAACTCCCCGCGGAGGTATGACGTTCCAAAACGACATCGCTCCCCGCGGAGATATGACGTTCCAAAACGACATAACTCTGCGCGGAGATATGACGTTCCAAAACGACATAACTCTGCGCGGAGATATGACGTTCGAAAACGACATAACTCCGCGCGGAGATATGACGTTCCAAAACGACATAACTCCGCGCGGAGATATGACGTTCCAAAACGACATAACTCCGCGCGGAGATATGTCGTTCCAAAACGACATAACTCCGCGCGGAGATATGTCGTTCCAAAACGACATAACTCCGCGCGGAGATATGACGTTCCAAAACGACATAACTCCGCGAAAAATAGTGTCCGATTTTTGAATTTTATACAATTTTTGACTCGTAAGGATCAGTTCTATCGATTGGCATCAAAAAAATGAAATCCAAAGTTTTGACCCAAATCGACAAAATGACAAGGGATTACATAACGTTTTTTTTTTTCAAAATCGAGGTCGGTGCGAAAATCGAAAGAAGATATGACGTTCCAGAACGACATAACTCCGCGCGGAGACTATCCAAATCATTACGATTTTTTGCAAGATCGAGGTCGGTGCGAATATCGAAACATTTTCGATGATTTTTTTTAATATCTCGGCTAAATAATGTCTGATTTTAAAATTTTATACCTTTTTGAATGCGTACGGATCCCTACCATCAATTGGCCTTCAAACAAATTAAACATCGTTTTTATTTATTTTATTTATTTATTAATGGTCGACAAAACGAGTGTCTTCCTCATTATTCAATAGGTTATACAATAGATAATATAATTATATGCTAAAAGCCTAGTTAAAGAATACAATTTTCTAAATAGCATCACCGATCGATGCCAGTCTGGCCTGCTGTGCCCCTTTTCACAGCTAATTTTGTCAGTAACGCTATTAGATCCTACATCTAAGCAGAAGGCTGTAAGTAGAAAAAAAGTGTTATTAAGTAAAATTGAAAATAATCTTAATTTGCTACATTAATAAAGAAAATACAATAAATAGGAAAAAAGAAAGTAAGAAGATTGTTAATAAATTAAAGCAATGTAAGTTAGATAAAGATGATGGGGGAAAATTTGTTTAGCATGTCCGGCAAGCTATGCCGTTACTCACAGCTGGGAATGGTCAGCGATTTCCCAAAGGTATCCTGAAAGCAACGATTTTATTAGGGGAAGAGAAGGCTCTCCGCGCGGATATATGACGTTCCAAAACGACGTAACTCCGCGCGGAGATATGACGTTCCAAAACGACATAACTCCCCGCGGAGATATGACGTTCCAAAACGACATAACTCCCCGCGGAGATATGACGTTCCAAAACGACATAACTCCCCGCGGAGATATGACGTTCTAAAACGACATAACTCCCCGCGGAGGTATGACGTTCCAAAACGACATCGCTCCCCGCGGAGATATGACGTTCCAAAACGACATAACTCCGCGCAGAGATATGACGTTCCAAAACGACATAACTCTGCGCGGAGATATGACGTTCCAAAACGACATAACTCTGCGCGGAGATATGACG